GTCCACGCCGCGCCCTCTACCAAATCCAAACCCTGTATCTAGGCCCCAACCACGACCTCAACCTGGGCTTCACTTTCAGCCTCACACCAAGACCTACTCTGATCCCACCAAGGTCACCCCAAGACAGGCAGTCTCTACGGGTAAAGACCCTCCTTTTGCCATCAGCAAATTTTAAAAGGGGCATATTGATTTAAATTTGTTGACTTTGTATATGATTTTTTTTTTAAAGAAAACTTGTAAAACTTGTGTAAAAGCCAGATAGTTATTGTAATTGTTGAAATCTGGTTTACAAATTTCACATTTTCTGGCAATTGCAGAGAGTTGCTCAAAATCTCTGCTTGGCATTAATTTTATTTTGAGAAACTCCTTTAAACCATGATTAAATGTTCTCACGTGGTCCAACAAATTTAGAGTTGATATACACTTGCCCTCTAAACTGGGCTGAAAAGAGTTCAGCATTGTCTGACCAAATGTAAAAGTTTAATCTTAATGAATATTATGATCACAACAAACACCCTTTCTAGCTGTACTGATTTAAAATCAACAGTCATCTTATGTTTTAACAAATAAGGGTGGGATATGCCCCCTTTAAAAGTAAAACATATATTCATATACAAATTATCTTAGATAAATAGTGAGTTCTCTTTCACACAGCTCCTAGTCCACCAGACGAGGGCAAGCCTCTACCAACACCTGCCCTGGCTACAGAGAAAGCTGGTAGTTACGATCATGATATGTTTGTCCCATTACCATCTCTGCTTTTTTTGTCAAGCCACGTGGAACCCAGTGCTTTCAGTTCTTCTTCAAACCACTGGATGATGTCACTGCTTCTCCATCTCCATCCTATCACCCTGCACACCCCACACCATCATTATTCCTGCCTCCATGTGTGCCTCTTAATTTCAGCCCACCACAGTCACAACCAGAGCAGTCTGGCTAGCTTTTGATCTCATTTATGCCTACAATATCTGTCATTTCATTCATTGTCCATTTCTCTGTGCTCTGTCATGAATTCCATCTCAGTAAAGCTGTCAAGCTATGAAATGGATCATTCTTAACCTTCCTAATTATCTATCTGCTCACCTAGGTGCCGGCATCCTCAGATCATCTGTCACTGAAGTCCCTTATTCTCCCATTAGCTCATCAGTTCCTCCAGCAGGAAGAAACACCACGATGTCTCGCCCACGGATTCCTCCTCATTCCACTCGTACTGGTGTCAGACCAGTATCACCATCCAAGACCTTCACCTCCTCTCACAGCTCCAGCACACCTGGGGGTAATGGAGTACTCACTTACTGTACTGTACCTTCCTGTCATTCCTCTTCCCAAACAACTACCTCAGGTGATCCTCACACTCTTGTTTGCAGCTGTGCATCTACAGAAGAAAATAAACTTGCTGCTCTTGATTTAAGCACATGATCTATGTTTAAATAGATTCAGTAGACATTTGCACATTTATGCTTCTGCCTTTCTCCTTCTCTCACTCAGTTTTCTGCTTCACCTCCTCTCACAGTCCATATGTTCTCCATTCTCGGCCACGTGTGCTCAGTGTGCCATTCACACCTATACCAAAAGCAGCAGCGGTGTCTCTGGGATCAAGATCATTTACATGATTTACTGTACAGCCCCTCTTGCTGGCTGGGTGGGAAGTCTGGCCAGAGCACTGGCCAGGACACACCACATTTTGCACCAGACATGCCAAGCCAAGCACTGTGCAGACTGTGTAGCCGCTTCAGCCAGTTTCTCTTTTCTTTCTGTCTCTATCTTTTCCTCTCTCAAAAACACACACCCACACTCCTCACATAGTTAAAGAAGAAGAGGGAGTGAGAAATGTCAAGAAATGGAATTGATGTCATGGCAGTTCCATTTTTGAGTCCAGAACATCTGTGAAACCAGGTTAAAAACACAAACAAGTCTCCAGCTTTATTGCCATTGGAAGAAACAGAAAAGGCATTTTTTCCTATTTCACTTTCTTCTTATTTGGTATTAGTATATTTGCCACGGTAACACACAGCATTTTATAATGGACTTTTTCTCCCTCCAGCAGCCGATGGGGTGAGTCATAAGGGCATTGCTCTTCCTAGACCTGTGATGTGGTCCCAAGAGAAATCTGGTAAAGACAAACCAAGATAATCACTATTCAGTGTTCCTCACTCACTAACCTAAGAGGCACTGTTATGTCCCGTCCCACACAGTTCACACTGACCTATGTTTTTGTCACAATCCTCTCATGCTGTGTGATTTTCAACTTCTCTGTCAGTGTAATGTTTTGTGTCTGGTCATGGTCTGTTGTCCAGTACATAGAGTTCCTGCAGCTTATACTTGACTGAGACTGAAGCCGTATACTGTATGATCCAAATTTTGGTATATACCTGTCCTCTCCACATTTAGTCTATAGGTACAGTATATACAGTAGTTTTGTTCTGCTTGTTGTATAGGGTGAATGTGGTTTTCCCTTTTTTTTTTTCGGTCATTGGTTCCATTCTGGTTGGCAAACTCAGTTAATTAAAGTAAGCTTGTGTTCAGACAGTTTCGAAGGTATGAAAAAACACATTCATCTCCATTCATTTCTATGGGGGATTGAGTTCATGGCAGCTGGAACCAGCACCGCAGGAAGGATAAGTTGGATCTGGTACAACTTTTGCCCTACCAGACAGTGACATCATCCAGCAAAGGTGCTGCTTATACAAATCATGTACAGGGGACAGTTGGAATGTGGACATCCACAGGAATTCACTACTATTCACTGTCAGATTTAGGCCACAGTTACAAAGGCACCATAACAAGGCATCGTGTATTTTCATTAGTTAGGGTAGTGGATGTTAAATTGTACAACAACAATACCCCTCACCCCCTGACCAATGTAGCCCCTTGTGTTAAAACAGCAGGGATTGCGTTTTACCACCCTTAGTCTGAACATCTGCTAACTGAATCCATCTCAAGTAGTAATGTAAACTACCTCTCGGTGATGTTTTAATAGTGACACTCTGCTCACTCCTTGTTGTTTGGAGTTGTGAAGAGAGTGTGCTTCAGTCTCATGTCATAGCTGGTGTGTGTTATTCTCAAAACTGGTTTCAGAGGTTTTTCAGAGATTTGCAAGGCTCTGTAGAAGCAGCTTTATAGAAAAGAATTGTTACAGTTCGTTTACCTGCCACCCTGCACACACATCCACGCACAGAGCTCCTTGTCACCTCATTACAAGGGTATAATCTACTCGTAGTTCATATTACTGCTTCCATTAAGTAAATTACATTTAACTACAGTAAAAGGAGCTGCCCAAATATTATATTACTTCCGTACATTCATCCATCCATCCATTATCTATACCACTTATCCTGAAAAGGGTCGCGGGGTGGCTGGAACCAGTCCCAGCTGATGTTGGGCGAGAGGTGGGGTAGACCCCTGGACATGTTGCCAGTCTATCACACGGCACCATTATTACTTCTCATACCAAATACCTCTCTGCAGCTTTGTATTGGTCTCAAAGCTGGTACAGAGCGTACTCTGACAAAACTGTGAACTTAACTATGTATTCAACATTTTTATAGAGTAGCTCTGTTTCACACTGGCATTTCAACTTGAAATTGTTTCAAACCTCTGCTTATAGTGGCAGCTGTTTAATGGGCAGAGTCTGTCCATGAATCCCATCCATGAATCTGAGTGTGTGTTGCAAAGACAACAACCACAGTGATGGAAAACATGTATTTGAGATGGAATATTTTTCTGGACCGAACATAAATCTCTGTGTTTTGGTTACATGTTTTCACGTTCTCACCCTGATGATGAAATTGTCTTGCAGAAACCGGCTCTCACACCACTGCTGCTGTTTTAAATCACAAACCTGAGTCTGAGGCCTTTGGAACATCAGAGGCTCGGGCTGCTTTTTAAGAGGTTTATTGTGAGACAGCCAACAAAACACACCGTAGAAGCTGTAGAATGTTGACCAGATCATATTATATACATTGCAGACATGTTACATATTGTTGACATTATATTATATCACATTACATTACTAAGGCTGTGTTCTGACTTCCTGCCCAGTTAACCATGACATCACTTCTTTGAGCTGTCAGTTCTTCATACTTCGTGTTACCACGTCTTCTGTATTTGCGTGTTTTATGACTGGCATTTAAATTACTTCATCACCATATTGTAACATTATACAGTATATGATAAGCATATGTTTGCCATTAGCTGTCAGTTGTACAGTACTATGTGTGAGTCAGAGGGTCTGTTTGAATGTATTCTCATTGTTATTCATCGAAGAATGTTGGCAGATGTTTCAGTTTGTCTTGATAGTCTCAGTTCTTCTCTGTTGGGAGTAAATTTAAGAGATCTCAGATTTATGCTGACCAGGGGAGGTCAGCTCCAGGGAGGAAGAAACAAATCCAAGATAAATGTTTTTGAGGCCCAAATAAACAGTAAATTTGATTCTTCTCAACCAAATAGCCAAGAATGGATCTCTGAGATAAAAAAAAAGACAAATGGTGAAAGGAGTGGATGTTTTGGAGATTAATCCTTCTCTTAAAATTAATTTTCTCTAAGCAACCAGAATATGAATCATGTAGCAGAAATTTCATGTTCCTTCTCCACCTCCTCTAATATATCACAACAAAGATTTAGGAACATTATGCTGGTTTAACAGTGTTAAATGATGGCAGAACTGTGTTTGACAATTTGTAGCAAAGATGTTTTCATCACAAACACCCGCTCCGCCTTGTGAAAACCTATCCAGCTCTCTAAAGCCAGTTTATTCCTTGCTTGTTCACTGAAGCAGTTTAGAGAGAAACTGATCAGATTTTTATGTTATGTAGCTTGGTTTGTCTTTCTATTTTATGATTAGTTTCCAAGTGCTTTGTTGAAAACTTGGTTGTCAAACTGCATAAGATCCAAAGTTACAGTAATGTTTATAGAACAGAGAATTAAATTGACCTTGCTTGTTCAGAATTTACTAAAGATTTTTAAATTCCTGATATTGTTGGAGGTTCAGGATGAGTGGATTTTGCAAAGGTACATAGTCACATAGTCGAACACTGACGTGGTTATTAGTAGTAACAGACCATGGCGGTGCTTTGTGGGAACATTTCACAAAGTGACTTTTCAGCATTTCATATGCCGTCTGTCCAACTTTTATGTGCTTTATTGTTCCTGTATTTGAACCTTATTTTTCAGCACACAGTATTACTGCAGTCTCCTGCTAAATGTTTCCCTCTTTTTAAATCCATAAACTTGACACTCTTTATCATTGTGGCACTGTTAAAAGAACCAGCAACACTTGTCTTCAGTTTTGTATCTCTTCTTCACTGCTAACCTCCTGTTGTTTTTCTGTTGTTTTGAGGTTTATTCTGAAATGGACTCTTGTTTCTAATCATTCCCTACAGTTCTGCGCCCTGGTATTCCTGTCAACAAGAGCCCCAACCTGGTGGGGAAACCCAGTGACCATGGTGAGGGCAACTGCTGCACCTTATCCTGTAT